TTTCAAAATTGTTGTAATAACCAAACTTTCAACTAGACAAATACACCATGCTCTACAGTGTTATTTCTAAGCAGTTATCTATAAAAGGTTGAGTTGTTTAAAGTGTTGTATATATAAATATATACAACTAATATTCTTTCATCCTTAAGTAATAAAAGCTGTTAAGTTAAAAGGTTGTATAAATACTTGAATCAAAATGTTTATAGTGGCCATAAGACATTTACTCAACTCTACATTGTCATATTGAATGAGCTTCCCATTGGTCTAAATTGGACTTCAGGCAGCTTTTTTTAAGTCTGAACTCTATGTCAGAGTTTCATTCAAATGTCGCTTTGTTTGCCAAATGAGGGTGGCAACGCGGAGAGATTAAGTTGTTTCCAGTCTGACACACAGATAAAGTTTCAGTCACACAAGACAAAATTTCCAGTCGACACAAAGCTTAATAGAAAAAAAAATTTATTTTCCCCTATTCACAAAAATTAAATAAAAAGGGATACATCAGATAACATCCCACCTGCACCACAGTTGAGCAAAAAAGAAAAGGTACTACATCAAATTCAATTGCCAGCCTTGATATCAGATTGAAACAAAGTTATGAATTAGTTTTCCACATTCTTCCCTAAAGGTATGCACCAAGCACCGACTCTCCTTCAGTCCAACCACATCAAATTTGACATAATCAAATGGTCCGCTATAAAACAACGAAAACAAATTATTCTTTAAACAAAAAGAATTAAAAAAAGAACGAAAAAAAAAAAACTTTTAAAGTCCAAAACAATTTGTGCCACTGGAGCACAAAAAAATAAAAACAAAATAAAACAAATCAAAAACAAAAAATAAATAAATAAAAACAAAACAAAAAAAACTGTCACATGAGCATCAAAATAAAAAATTAAAAAATAACCTGTGGACAACTTGCATTTAAATTTACCTTACTGTATATAGCTTAGTGTATCACAACATAGCGAGGAGTGGTGAAGTCTCAACATTTTTTTACCGATTCTTTGTGGCACAGGAGCTACATCCTTCTCAAACATTCTGGTAATTAATGCTTCACCAGCTGTTGCCCCGTGAACATCTGTCCAGCCTGTGATCAATGAGTGGCCGCTTCATATCTCAATACTTGCACACATTGGTAACACTTGTGCTACAAAAAGAAAACTCCATGTCACGATGGTTGAGGGGAAGAAAAAAAAAAAAAAAACCACGCACATCAAATCTTATTCTATAAAATACATAATCTATTGATGTGAGCCGATATTCACGAAAACGTTATTCTCAGGAAGGGAAAGATTTTGGTGTTTTCCCCCCAATTAGTGACAGTTTTCATCTTCAGGTGATGATCAAACTGTTATCAACTAGCAGGCAAATGTTGATACTCCCCAGTGGCCACGTCGTCCCAGGCGTGACTCAAACTATGCCCCGGACATAACTTTATTTGTAGGGCTGGTGCAAAGTTACATCTAAGCGGTACTCGCGTTTACACCTTTATAGTTAAACACCAACAGGCAAACAGCCATACACACTTCCATTACAACCGTCCACTATGGACAATGACTAAAAGATAAAGCTGGATAAAGACCACTCTCATATAAGCTAACCAGTGTCATGGGGAGAACTATTAGGACTCGGAGTCAGTGTATTCCCAGGCATATCCTACACAGTATCGACGGGTGAATATATGGCAACAATCACTAGTTTGATCAGAAGCTGGAGAAGTACCTTATTATTCCAGCAGCAGTTGCATTTTCCATTGACAAAGCTCTTATAAGGTAGATCCCTCCAAACGGACCTGTTATAAAATGACTAAAAAAAAAAAAAAGGAGCAAGACTCGTTGAAAAGCATGCAATGTTCATGACAAGGAGAAGCCTTGATGGCTCAAGCAGCCATCGTTTAACAAAAAGCTTTGATTAAAGAGACATCCTTGAAACAGATATGGATTGACAGGTGCACTGGGACATGGATCCAAAATACTGTCATTAAGATGTCTCCCCCTCTTAAATCCTTTTCAATCCATTTTTAAAAAGGAGCTACATTATAAAACTAACTATGTTAAGAGGCCTCAAGTCTTACCCTAGTCATTTTACCATTGCTTAACATTATCATCATTATGCTTACTTTAGCAAGCCATTAACAGTCCTAAAATCACTTATCAAAAAAAACTATATCTCAAGATCAGTATATTATTACTGTACGTCTTACATTTGAAATTCTAAATTTCTTACAAAAGAAAAAAGTGCATTTATATCAGTAAGAACCAATTCATTCTTGGTGATGTCTTATCGCTCTCATTAAGTCCGTTTCGTAAATACTCTAAAAACGAAGCAGCAGCAGCAAAAAAGGATTCTCAACAGTATTTGAACTCTTGTTGCAATGAGTGATTTCTCCAAACAATAGGACATGAGCCGATTCCTGTATTAAATCTACCTATAGTTGGTCTTCACACACAGTCTCCATTTAACTATAGGGACATTGATTAGACAATATGGATGAATGGGAGGACAAAAGAACCAAGCACAGACATCTTCAAATTATGGCAGCCTCCCCATACTGACAATGTAATAAATCAAGTGGGCAACAAGACAGACATACACTCAAACATGCGTCACTTAAGAGGTGATCATATGCCATGCAATAACTTGGTACTGCGGTGGTAAAACCTTAGAGGACAGACCTAATGCATCTTTTTTTTTTGCCTCAAATGAGGGGAAACAAAGAAACCTATGATTCAAGAGGAATTCAGCAACCACAGGAAGAGTAAGGAACTTAAACTCTGCTAAATGTACATGTGAAAAGAGAATAAAGACCCTTGTATATGCACCCCAAATTGTTTTTGCAATTTCGCCATAAAAGGTGCAAAACATTTGTGCACATTTCCTGCAGTTACATAGTTAAAGCGTCACGTTTTGTTTTTGTTTAGCCTCTGGCAAGAGCCTGTTTAAACTCATCTACATGTTTTATGATTTTATTTATTTGACAGGGACAGTGCACAGCTTTTTAGCTGTACCAGAGTTAGCTATAAGATCATTTACATCTGTAGTCCCTGGGCAGGAAACAGAGAATGACATCTCTGTTTAGAAAAATAACGAGTCATGTGCAAGTCATTCTCGGACTACGTGCGTTGTGGTATTTGGGACTGTGGCACCATATGCTGGTTCAGATAATTCCGTTTTATGTACCTATCTGACAACCCCCGCCC